CCCCACACACACCGTTCCCCAAAGTCCTCCCTCTCAGACTCTCACATGGCTCTCAGCTCTGTTCTGCTCTTCCCCGGTCCCCCGTTTGCCCTGTCCTTCCCTAGGCTCAGCTGATGGGAATCTCACTTTCTCCTTCACCCCTATCACCGTCCCTCATTGCTCAGAACATGTAACGCTCGACGTTCACTGAACTTCTCAAAAGCCGCCAGTGACCTACTTTCTCAGTCTGTTGTTTTTCTCTCACTTGTTCTGTTTTCTGACCTCTCCGTCACGTTTGACATTATTGATTTTCCCTTGTCGAAATCTTCTTTTCCTCAGGTTCATTGTAACCCCTGGTTTCTGTATATCTCTGGTCCGTTCTTTGCAAGACTCTTGGTTTAAGACTCTTTGTTCCCCAAGATCCTTTAGAACATGTTTGCGGTGCTCTATGGAAACTCAGTGAACTCTTGGGAGGTTTCCAGTCTATGGAGGGGCTGGACCGCATGGTCCTTCAGGGCCCACCATTCAAGGAGGAGGCATAGGAGCAGAGCGAGCACCTCTCCAGCTCAGGAATGGCTGTGTCAGGGCAGCTGCTCCAGAGCATGTGATAATGAAGCTTGACAGCAAGTTGGCTTTATTCAGGCAAAGGAGAGAGGGAGTTCTGGCCAAGGAGAGCTATGGGAATAGACAACAAGACATCTAGATGGTAGCTCAGTGGGGGGACATGGGCTGCCTAGGCTCATGAGGGACGCGATACAGCCTTGGCAATGAGTTACTGTTACCACCATTTTGCAAACGAGGAAACCGAGTTTAAAGTGGCTGAGTGACACCGCAGTCAAACAGGACAGCTACGTGTGGCTGAAAGGTCTGTCCGACTCCAAGCCATGTTCCCCTCCTCCTGAGACATGGGGGCAGCATGCTGGGTAGCGTCTGAGCATGTGTGTGCACACAGGCTGTCAGCATTTTGCTGGCGTCTCGTGTTTAGGAGTCACTTAGCCAGTATTGTTTTCAGGAACAGCACGGACCTGTGTGTATTTGTGATTGTGTATGTCATTGTAGAAATCCAGCCTCCACAGTTACCCTCCTGGTCCCACAACACAGAGAACCTTCTTTTTATCTGCCAGATTCTAAAAGTTTAAACTGAGTGTGTTTCTAACTTGGATTTTGACTCAGCTTTCTCTGTGTTGATGTCCAAGTGGAGGGACAGAGTCAGACCATTCGTAATGGTGATTGAAACGAGCATGGTTAGCTGTGAGTGGTGGGGACACAGAGGAGGGGGAGCCCAGGCCCAGAGTCGGTTGAAGTGGGCTCTGCTGGCTGCTGCTTCTCAGGTTTGGCCACTTTTCCCTGGTAGCAGATGTGAGCCTTGAGCATCCTGACTGCTGGCCCCTATGGCCCTGTGACCTGGCTTCCATGTAGAATCTAGGTCAGTGACAGCATTCGTGTCACTTACCGTTGGGCAGATGCCACGCTTGCACACTCCAGCCGAGGAGCCATGCTACGGCTCACTTTCGAGATGCCTGCGTGCTCTTCTTAGGCCGAACTGCAGCTGCCTAACAATGTCCCCTTCTAAGTGTAAACCGTGCTGTCTTGCCTGAACCCGGGCATCCTACTCACAGACTCTCAACCTCAGGAAGGCCGGACAGCTGAGCTTCTACTGTAAACAAAGCCCAGCCTCAATTATGGGTAAGAACGGGGACTTGGCTAATAATGGAAGATGAACTGAAGATGCTGAAACCTTGTTTTTTTTCTTTGAGTTCCAACCACTTCCCTCAAAACACTTTTAGCAGAACTTGTAGCAAAGTGCAAGTCTGGCACATCCGGCTCATGCACGAGCTCGGGTCTGTCCTCCCTGCCTTGTGATTGAGCAAGTGGATCATGGGGGTGTCTAGTAAAGGGGGAGTTGTGGCACAGGCCTCGGGACCTCAATGCCTGGTCCTGCAGCTTTGATGCCAACTTCTGGGGTCGTGGAAATAGACGCCCGTCACTAGCCTTCACGCCAGGAACTGCATGTGGATAGGATGGCTTTGTGGTCACTTTTCACTTGAATCTTTAGAATAGTACAGAATTTCCCAGCCATCACATTGTTGATCTTTTGTTTGTTTGTTTGTTTGCTTGGTTCCAATTCATCCTGGGTGCACACTGCTGGAAGTTTTGCAGCGTGCCTGTCCTCTGTCCACTAGGTGCCAGTAGTAATCCATGATTTCTAAGGGTTATCAAGTTGAGGAGCACTGGACTAGCCCCTTCATGGTAGGTGTATTTCATATTATTATGATATAGAGAGAAAATTTAACTCTCTTGTGGTTGACAAACCTTAGCTGTATATTTAACTCATCAGCAGTAAGTAATCTATATGCTATAATCTTGGAATCTGGGGTGGACTTTATTTATTGCTTTTTTTCAGAGCAGTGGACAGACCATATGCTATTCCAGTGATTTAAAGCACTCATATTGGGTGCAGTGGGCCTTGGTTAAAAATATGACTGAATATTTTTTCAAAAAAATTTTTTTGAGG